ACACTGGCTTCCAATCAGCATAGCATGGATTTCAGAATTTAGGTTCCCTGTTTTAGGGTGAATGAGGGATTTGCTCTTCTTCCTGGCATTCAGGACAGACCTACAGGAGTTTTTCATATTGATACGCACACTTATTCTGAAGATATGTTGGAGTGCTCAGAGTCAACAGGAGTAGGTTTTTTGCTGTCCTCTGGAAAGCTGAAAGAACATCTCCAGATTAAAATAGCTAACATGGTCAGCAGCTAGTCAAGTATTTAATTACAAATAGCTCTTAAATTATCGTCATAAATGAAACGAACATTTATTATTACAAGCAAATGGGAGTTAATAATTCTTGATATAAGGATGAGCAATGCCAAGTAATGTTAAGCACCATGTTAAACAGCATGTTAAACACCTAATTGTCAACTGCCAGAACTGTTTGAAAGTTTGTACTGATCACTTGAATGCATGTCTTTGGAATTTAAAAGAAATTATAGGCTATTAGAAAGGGCTATCAAACTTTGGGAATTACACCTTCTGCTGGTGACCTCCTCTTAAATAAATGTGAAAAACAAGTGAAGAGTTACTCAGTTTTTAAAGAATTGCTGATGGAATAGTGGAGAGGATTTAAACTCTCCAAACTGGACTTTGACTTACAAAGGCAATACTCTAAAACCAACTGAGGAAACTGTATGTAAAAATCTCGATGACAAGCTGGCTCTTGCTGAACAAATACTGTTTGTAGGACTAGCACAGCCAGCTACAACTGATAAACAATTAAATGATGCTATTCTTAGACAAATACAGGAGCTAGTCCAAAATAGAGGGTGAGCTGTTCAGAACATACCCTTTGTTCAAAGAGGAAAACTCTTGTGAGGAACTATTGCCAGTCAAGGAATGGATTTTTCTGTTGCTGAAGGAGATCAGATGTATTAAATTAAATCTTCCCTATCTACAAGGAACAATCTTTTAACAATAATTGTAGCTAGCATAGTTAAATGAAACTTTCAAATAGATAAGCTATCCAATGCATGTGGAAAATTGAGTTGAACAAAAGGTAGAATGAAAGGGAGCTAAAAATGTAAAGAAAGACACAATTATTTTAAATTCAAAGATTGAAAAGTATAAAAACCACTCATTTGTCAGAAAATGACCCTAAACAGAAAGATGAGCAAAGCAACAGGAAAAGTCCAAAGCTAAAAACCTTACCCCAGTGATACGCCAAAAGCAAAGAACAAGAAATATCCTGAGGAAAATTATATACTGATGCAGAGAATTAAATCTGATCTCTTACACATCAATAGTTAATAACACTAATGGGGGTGCATTGAGAACTTCTGGAGATACATGATTCTCATACTATTATTTTACCTGCAGGAGTATTATCCTCAGAGAAGGTTAAAACTAACAAAAAATGGAATTTGATTTTAAATTGCCACAAACTGGTAATGGGTATTTATCCAAAACCATGGGCTTGTTAACTTGATATGATAGAAAACAAAATTTATTAAAGATTATCAATACAATAAATCAGGGTCAGTTTACCATTGTAGACATAAAACAGATGGAATATATTTTTATAAAACAGATGGAATATATTTTTATAAAATAGATGGAATATATTTTTAATAATATTTGTGCTCGGGCAATGGCTATTTTTGTTGATTGAAGTCTAACTACCATGGTCTTCTCCTTCAGGGACCTTCTAGCTGAGTGTAGAATCACAGTTTCAAGATTTTATGAGAATAGTGTGTCACCCCAGGCATTTATCACTGAAAGTAAAACAAATTTTAAAGTATATTACCAATGGAAAATAGAAGTTCAAAAATTTAATTGATCTTGATTCTTTAAATGAAATGTATCATTATAGTCAAAATGAAACAAAGAAACTTCCCCAAAATGAAAAGATACATTTTAAGAAGGGTGAAAAAATGTAAATAAACTCCTTTGGTGCATTTTATTTTCAGGCAGAAGATGAAATTCTGCTAAGATTAAACCTGTTAAAATCACATAGGGCAACCATCCGAATGAGAAAGTTGAGAGCTTACTTAAAAGACAGGATTTTCATTAATTATTTATTTAAAACATTTGTATGCTGCCTATTGTGCCATAGCCTCTCTAGGCGGCTCACAATTAGATGTTTCCACCTCATCTAAATATATAGAATGCCCCAAAGGGAAAGTCGGGATGCTTCAGAAGTATCTATGGTATAAAAGTAACAGCTATAGCACAACTCCATCCATTGTTAAATGATGGTTAGATTCGAAGTATTGAATCCACTCTGATAAAACTGACCACTGTGCAGGAAAGGAGCCCATGACTTGGTTGGATATGAACCTGGAGGAAAATGAATTAGGTTTGCTACTAAAACAGATTGCATCTGTTGATTGCCAAAGAAAGCAAAGAACTGCGGCAATTTCAAATGTCAGCAGACCAAGTTTAGAAGTAGGAAAAAATATATTTGAAAGAGTGGGTTGTATATCATCATGGCAGGAAATTTCAGTGCCCAAATAGGGCAAATGAATTCCATATTGTTTCTTATTTCCATCTACAAACAAGAGGGATCTCACATAATAGCAATTAGGCAGTCAAAAGACAAGGGTTGCAACTATGCTGGTTTTTATTTAACACAACTTTTACTTAGAGTTGATTTGGTTGTTTAGTAAATGGGGATACTGAAGGTGACAGAAATGTACATTCCTTTCAAGAGTGGGAGCTTCTACATTTGATTATTGTACTGCTTTGTACAACTTGTTAAATCTAGTTGTAGTGTGAACAAATGGCTTGAGAGAGATCATTTAGCCTTAGTTTTAACCTTAAAACTTGGTCTTCCAGACAATTGTACAAATTGTGTATGGATGCTAAACTTAGAGGCTGAGAAGAGATTGACATGAGTGAAACAGACAAATATATTAAGTCAAAACATAAGAGATATTGCATTTTGAAGAGAGGATTTAGCAACTGAGGACACCCCATCAAAAGTTTTTTTTTCCTTTTTATGAAGATATAATTACACTTTTACAAAATCATTGAAATCTAATACCCACTAAAATTGGGCACTAAGCAATCAAAATATTGGTGATCATGAATGCATGGCACTGAAAAAAATCCCAAGGGAAAAATATTGGTTGTACAGAGAAAGAAACTTGCCAGCATAACCATCTGAAGGGTTTATATGAAGCCTTAATTAAAACAAAAAAGAGATAGGCTATGAGAATTACATGGCAAACTCAGCAAGAGAGAAAGAATCTGCAATGTTTTTGGCTAGTGATTTCAGGTGTTTGGCCAGAAACAACACTAAGTATGGAATATGCAATTTCATTAAATTCCTGAGAAGCTCATTTCAGTGCCATTTTTGTGTCAGGACAATATCATCAATGGTCATCTAAGATTAACACAGACAATTTACCAGATCAGCCACAGGTTACTCTTTGAGAAATTCAGCATCTTATCTCTAAATTAAAATCTGGAAAAACACTTGGGTCTGACAATATACCTCCTGAATGAATAAAAGCGAATGTAGACAGGTGGGCTGCTGGACTGACTACTTTGTTTGCATGTCTATTACATGGCATATATCCCAGGGACTGGGGCCTAGCCATTATTATTCCAGTCTATGAAAAAGGGAAAAGAACTGATCTGGCAAATTATAGACCAGTAAATTTGCTGAGTATAATCAGCAAATTATACACCTCTCATCTTCATGAGAAACTGTTTTATTGGCAAGAACAAGAAAATATCATTGATGATGAGCAAGCAGGATTTAGAATGGGATGATCCACAGCAGATCATGTAGTGGTCCTCCAATACATTGCTGAATAATATGCATTAACTACTAAAGAGAAGCTGCATGTTGCCTTTATCGATTTAAACCTGCTTTTGACCTAATTCTAGAAATAAGTTGTGAGGAAAGCTCAAAGCTACTAACATTGATAGGAGACTGCTTATTCTTATGTGGAGTCTTTATGAAACATTTATTTGAAATATGGATTTGTTGGTCTGATTTATAATACTTATAATGGAGTTGGACAAGGGTGCATTTTGGCCCCCATTTTGTTTACTTTTTATATTAATTCTTTGGTCCAGGCTTTGAAAAGGGTAAATTTACACACTCCCAAATTGGCAAATAGACCCTGGCAAATTCTCTTATATGCTGATGCTGCAGTGTTCCTATCATTATTAAGCACTGGCTTGAAGCATCTTGTAAGTGTCTTATTGTAAATATGAACTACTGACAATAATTGATTCTAAAAATAAGGTCATCATTTTTAATAACAAGAGGACCAGGCATCAATGGCAGATTAATGGACCACAAATTAAACAGGTTACTTCCTACAAATATCTTGGTGTAACCTTTGAATCAACTGGTGTAACTGTTCTTAACCACTACTCCACAGTGGCTCTCATATGACTGTAATTAGTTATCACACCTATTTCACTGCCAGCGTTCTGATCATTTTTCCTTAACCTTCTACATATAGCTTAAAAGGTTCATCATTTACCACAAGTTAGCCTAAGGTACAATCCTATGCCAGTTTAGACAGAAAAAAGTCTACAACTCTCAGCATTCCCCAACCAACCAACCTTTTTCTTCTACACAGGCACTAAGGATTATGGCCTTTGTGATAGTGTTGCCTTCCCCAGGTTTCTAGTGTTAGCACAATTTGAAAACCATGTTTTGAAAGGTGGAAAGCTATACCGCAGAAAATAATGGGCTTCTTGAATAACAGCGTTATGAAGAACTGCAGGTTCAATCTAGACCATTGCCTAGTTTTTATTTTTAGTGTGCATACTTTGCTTTGAACATCTGGCTTCCTAGTAATATACTGCAATTTGACGCATCCTACCAGTCTTCAAGCTGAAGTCTCATTTGCGGTCACGCACTGTACAGCACTTCGATCACATGATGCAAACGCGACGGAAGCGTCAGGCGCTCGCGCTGTTAACTGCGCTGCCATCTTGAACTCTAATCACATATGGGTGTCGCCATCTTGTCTTTCCCTCGGCATGGGGGGCGCCATCTTGTGCCCTCTCGATGAATGAACGGCGTCGCGAAGGAGTGAGCCCATCCGGTTTGGTTCGCCGCGTCGTCTCGCAGCGTGGTCCGCCATGGAGCCCCGCTTCGCCTACTTTTTTCTCTCTCTCTGTCTGGGGGGCGTCCTGGCGGCACCAGAGCTGGTCAATGAAGAAGTAAAGCGGACGGTGGACCTCGGGACGCACCTGGCGAAAGTGACTGCCGAACTGAACCTGGCCAATCCTGCGGGGGGTTCTGGGTCCGCCACCACCTTCCTTCTGGCTTTGGACCCCGGCCTGGAGAGCCACCTGGCTTACCTGGGAGTGCAGGTGAGCAATTGATGGAGCCCCCCCCCCCCCCGCAGGCCTATTATTACTTTCTCAAGCCCGGACTGATCCTTTCTCTGGCGCTCCGCACAGAAATACTGTTTCAGGCGCTTTCACTCGATTTTTTTCTGTTCTGCCCGCCGCGCTCCTTTAACGTTTTGGCTGCATCTGTCACCGTTTCTAGGAGTGAGATTTCAGCCTCACCGCTCCCTTTCGCTCTCACCTTCTTCCGTTTTTTCTCCCATTCTTCGGGTGGCGGTAATCGCCTCCTCCAAATGTCGCTCCTTGCTGGGAATTGCGTCCCTTCCCTTTCCCAATTCCAGAACCCCTTTGTTGTTGTGATTGGTCGTCTAACGATTGTAATGGAAAGCATGGTTGATTCTCCCACCGCCCCTTCTCTTTCTCTCTCACTTCCTCAAGTATATGTTGGAGTGTTGATTTGGTTTTTAACTGAGATAGTTTTGGGGTGCTTGACTCCTGTAAATTGATGTGTGGAGAACGGGCTGCAAAACAGCACTTGGTGCGTCAGTTTGCCCGTAGAGGTCTGAGCGGAAATCCGCAGACAGAGGTCTGGGCGGTGAGCAAATCCAAACTTTGTGAATCAGCTGAAAACTTGCAACCCTCTGGAATGACTCTATAGTGTGTTGTAGGCTGAGGAAAGAATGTAAGGAAAATATATTTAAATGAAGGAAAGATCATGGGCCGCCCCAAAATCTCTTGTAAACAGCCCCAGATGGATTTCTTAATGTGTCTTTCCAAGTAATTGTCTGGGATGCCTTTTTACTCTGTGGCCGTGTGCACCACATGTATTTCTCTTCTCCCTGGCTCTTGGTTCAGAGTTGCTGATGTAGTAACGGCCTGGCAAATGCTGACACGTAAGCATAAGTACTTCACTTGGAGCGCAACCTAGAGGGAGGGAAGCACAGACCTCAAAGCATGTCCATAAAACTGCATACGCATGTGCAAGGCCTGTACTCAGCTGCATACACAGAATGCTGGCATGTAGGCTTAGTGCTTAAACTGCCTGTATTTCCTGACTGACTTGTAATAATCAGAGGAGTGGGGGAAAGTTGTTTTAGGGCTTTTGAAAACCTTTCTGTAGGGTATTCATTTAAGGCTTCTGTTATTATGGTTGATGACAGACAGATTGTTGGTGGAAAAGGAATAATCAAATTTTGCAAGGCAGCTTGATTTTTTAAAAAAATGTACAAGGAATAGGGAAAATAGGTTATTTAAATAGGAGGAATTCAAGATGAGGGAAGAATCAATAAGAATAATAAGATCAATAAGGGTAGTAAGAACATAAGAAAAGCCATACTGAATCAAATCAATGATCCATCCACTCCAGCACGCTGTTCACCTGGTGCCCACAATTAGGATGGGTGCAAGAGTTCCACATGCCCAAGCTCCTCAGCAACTGATGTACACTGGGGTACTGCCTCTGATAATGGAGGCTGCACGTAACCAACAGGCTAGTAGCTTTTTCTAGCCTTCCACCTCCTAATTTGTCTAGTCACCTTTTAAAGACATCCAAATTAGCGGCCATCATTATAGCAGTTCCATAGTTTGACTATGGTTCCACTTCCATAGTTTAACTATGCAATATAAAGCAATGTATAACACGCAGTGTGCCTTACTCCCAGCAATGGTGTTATAGGTTGACATTTCAATTGAGCTCTTCACCATAACTCCAAGATCCTGATCAGTTGCTGTTAGCTCAGATACCATCAGCCTATAGTTGAAGTAGATACAGATACAGATTTTATTATTATTATTATTTGCACCAACATGCCACTCCTTTCGTGTACATGGCCTTTGGCATGATATCATCAAATGGCGAAAAATAAGCTCAGGTTATCTGGGAAACAGCATATAGGTTCCATTTGACTTTCTGATTATGGATTTGTCATTTTTTTTTTTTTTACAAACCCATAGTAAGTATTAAGGCCCTTTGAGGTCAATGGCACTGTATATATATACATAGGATGGATACTGTTGACTTGCTTTACTTAATGACTGCTTGCTCATTTTGTAAAATGAGCATATTGCTGACCTGATAGTTAGCTGAGAATCCTGCCTAAGATGTGGCACCTTACTCTCATATATGGATTGCGTGAGAGTCCTTGGGTAGGTCCTGGTAATCTTGATCTACCACAGATGAGGCCTGTGAATTCATTTGTATATAGAAAATACAACTAAAGATACAATTCTACATCCTTAATTTTAAGCAACCAGACTTAGAGGCTTATGACTATCCTGTGCTGAGCAGAAGGGAGTGGTAGGATTAAGCTTTGCCTCTATAACTTGTACCCTGCATTTTTTGGATGCAGGCTTTTTGCCCGTCTTGCTGGTACATTTCAGAGAGGAAGGAAAGGAGGCTGGAGAGGCTTCATGATAGCTGAAACCCCAGTCTCTTCCCCATCAAAATGTCCCCTTCCTTCTCCAAGGTCACTTTCCCAGCCTTGGAAGGCAACTGGTATTTTTCCCTGTTTCAGCTGTGTGGAGGATGGGGTGGTTCTTTGATTGCCCACTTATGTTGGAACACTGTCTCATATTTATTTATCACAGAATCTAAAATATCTATGGCCTCTCACACCTCTGTATCTATAAAGGGATGCATCATCCATGATTTTAAACATATTTTAGGAGAGTAAATAGAGGTAACCCCATGACTGAGCTAAAATGATGTAAATCCAAATACCATGGATTTCTTGATATGCATCTACTTTTTCATTATCCTTCTCCGAGTGGCCTTAAAGTACTACATAGATCCTTTTCCATTTGACCTGTTTGCCCGAAGAATAAGAATAGAAATGAGTGTTACCAAGTGCCTTATCTGTCACTATTAGTATTAGGATGCTCAGATAACCATTGTCAGGAAAAATCAGGGTGATTTCAATAAAGGAAGGTCAAAATAATGCCATGCATCATTTGTATGTCCAGCTGGTGGCTATTGAAAGACTGCTTTCAGATGATTCCCAGTGGGATATAGCTTTTGAATGAGAACTTGCATCCCATAAGCAGCTACTGTTCTTGTTTTGAAATTAGCAGCCTCCTCCATAATTTTAGCTAGAAAATACAGTTGCATACTCTTCTTTCTCCCATGAAGGAAAGAGGCATGGTTTTTATCCCTTTCTGTTGAGATTTTGCAATGGGAGAATCCTGCTTGCACTTTCTATGAATGTCCAACATTCTCCTTCATTCTCCCATGTGTTCCACACATGCTTCAGGATTCTGGGAAGGGACTGTTGAATGTCAGCCACAAATATTGATTCTGCCAATGAGCTAGACCAATGTTTGAATCTTAGAGGGTTGCAATATGCGTCAGTTGCTGTTACATAGCACTGCAGGGCTTGCAGAATTGGACAACAGCTTGTTATCGATTGCTTGGCTGATTATTAGTATGTGTCTGAGATTAAAATGCATCCTAGCATTTCTGCTGACTTACTTTCCACTGGAAGGGAACAGGAATTGTTTAATGTTTCTAATGAATTTAATTGGATAAGTGGGGTATGGTAGCACTGACCAGACTTTAATATTATTATTTGAAATAGGTGAAAGGTGAGGAAGAGGAGGAGAGTACTCTGGAGATGAAAGAGACAAAGGTAAAAGGTAAAAGGTGAGTCTTGCTATGAGAAATTAAGGACTATTTCATGCTCAGGTTGTAAACAATGTATATGTTGTAAACAGCTGAGCTCTGTATCCATATTTAAAAACCCATAAATATTAACAATCTGTAAATAGTAAAATCACATTTACATAATTAATGCAAACATTATATTTAAATGCATTGTAAAATACTTCCAATTAGAGTAATAATGATAATATAGAGCAATAGAGGAATACTAACACAAAGCGGCATGATTAGCTTATTTATAAGCTGGGGAAGTCTTGAGTAAACAAGTGTGTTCTATAATAAGGAAGCATTTGAAAGAAGCTATATTATCTGCCTTCTGAATTGCATGAGGGAGTTTTCCACAGTGTGGGTGCCAGTACTGAGAAGGCCCACCATGAAGGGATTACATGACAGCCTTTGTGTAATTTTGGCATGACCAGCAACACCTCTGCTGACAATCATAAGGTTTGCTTGGCTATATGAGGGAAGGCAGTCTACTAGATAGCCTAGTGCACGTTGTTGAGGGCTTGGGATGTCAACAGGATAACTTAAATGTGGCTTGGTAGCTAATAGGCAATCAGTACAGTTCCTTTACCACAGATGTTATGTGAAAATATCATTTATTGAATGTCCAGTGAACATCCTCGCTGCTGTATTCTGCAGACACTAAGCCAAGTCTAAGGGCAGCCCTACACAGAGGATGCTTAATCTAATCGTCAGATTACCAGTTCAGGGATCACTACAGGCTACATTATCCCTGCCAGGAACTAGTGTAGTTGGTGCCCCAACAAAGGTGGCTAGCAGGAGCTCCAATCCACAGAGGTCACTTGGGCTTCCAGGGAAAGAGGGGCTTCCAGGGAAAGAGAGGCTGTAGGAACACACCCAAGGCACACACATTCTCCTTCAGAGGGAGTGTCCACCATCCATAAGAGAGAAACAGCCCAGTTTATGGAGGTTGGAACTGCCAAACCTTAGGGTCTCTGTCTTACTTGTATTCAGCTTCACTTGACGAATATATTTACAATAGTAATGTTTTTAAAGCTTAGGTTAAAACATGTAATTTTCAAAGTAATCCTGAAGCATTGCACTAGTTCCAGAGATACTTAATGCTGAAAGATTGCATATATAGAAAAGCTGATCCTGTTTGCATTTTGACTTAATTTTTTTATTTCTAGAATTCTTTAAAAAGGAAAAATCCACCCTGGCCATTATGTTAACAATGAAGTGGTCTCCTGAAACTGTAAGGCAGAGGTACACAACTTATAGCTCCCTGTGTGGTGTTGGACTGCAACTTTCATCAGCCCTGTCCAGCATAGCTAGTGGTGATGGTTGATCAAAGTTGTAGTCTAACACCATTTAGAGGGCCCTGCTATAAGCTGTAGTAACTCTTATTATTATCATTACATTGTATTTAGATCCTGTCTTTTTTCTCTTCTGAGGAACCCAACAGGACTTGCATAGCTCTATTTTATCCTGTGAGGCAGGCTGGGCTGGGCTGAGTTTTTGGTGACTGCCCCAAAGTCACCCAGTTAGTTTCATGGCTGAATGCAGACTAGAACCCAGGTCCCCAGTTCAATACTCTGACCCCCACACCAGCTCTCATACTGTGATTCGCTTACTTTTTGGAAGACTAAACCTCCCAGAAAATAACTGTTAGTATGTAGGTGTTAGCTTTTCAATATATTTGTGGAATTTAAGCCTACAGATCTAACCATTTTATTTTAATCAGATGAGGTTGGCATTTCCTGAAATAGCAACTGCTCCTGAGATTCTGACCCAGCCTTCCCCAACCAGGTGCCCTCCAGAAGTTTATGCCTGCAGTTCTAGTCAAGCCCAGCCAGCATGGCCAGTAATCAGGGATTATGGCAGCCACGGTCCCAGATACCTGGATAGTACCAATTTGCGAAAGGCTGATCTGACTGTGCTGAATAGTAGTCTCTCCAGTTACTGATATTTTGAATACAGCTTATTTAGACTAGTAGGTCTGAACTAGAAGAGCAGGAGTGATTTTGGATATCCATAACAGTGTCATTCAAAACTGCTTCAGGGATGGGAGTGGGAGAGATTTTTTTTCCAAGCGACGAACTCTGTTGAATTTGTGTGTTTGTGGGTATCTGTTAAGCCAGCAGAGCATGACAGGTCTTCTTTTTTCCCCCCAGTGGCAAATTCTTTACTGTGAAGTTGCCGTCTCCTCTGGCTCCAGGGGCAAAGATCCGCTTGTCTATTGAAACAGTTTTTACACATGTCCTGCAGCCATATCCTACACACATTACCCAGGCAGAGAAGCAATTTGTGGTTTTTGAGGGAAATCATTACTTTTACTCTCCATACCCAACCAAGACTCAAACTACTCGTGTAAAACTGGCCTCAAGAAATGTTGAAAGCTACACGAAACTAGGCAATCCGAGCCGATCAGAGGACATGATTGAATATGGACCCTTCAGGGATATCCCACCATATAGTGAGGTAAGTAATCCCATGTTAATGGTCATGGCAGAAGAACAGAGCCTGAAGGAAAAATGCCACTCGTGGACATAAAATACATGCCTGCCCTGCCTTTGTCATGTCGTACATCATAAATAAGGCATCCATGAAGGTAAATAATTTAAAGTGGCCTAAATAATGAAAGTGGACTTGTGTTTAAGTCCTTGCCTGGTAAGCACAGGTGACAAAGAATTCCATGCTGATGATTACCTGGAATTCTGCTTAGGTGAGTGAGTGGACCAGTGGGGGGGTGGGTGATGGCACATTCTGCCCCTCCTTCATCAGCTTTCTTGGCAGGAGCTTTTTTAGTCTGAGAGGCTAGTAACCTCTGTGTTCATGTTTTTCCAGTGTGTGACTGAACACAGAGAGCCGCCATGCTGATAACTGAGAAGAGGCAGCAGTTACAATTGTGTAGGCACTGACTGCTTTGGGGGGCTTTAACCTTAAGAATCAGGATTAATTCAGGTTGTAGCTGAATGCAGATTTATCACATTCCTGTTCAGTCAGTCATTTATATTTGCAGTGTGACTTCACAAATGAGTAGGATTTATAACGCGTTTGCAACTTTTCCATACTAACAGCTTTTGAAGATAAAAACTTTGCTTGCTAGGGGAATGCAGAAATTACTCACTGAAGTTTTTGGTGATCTGTATTGTGCTTGATTATTTTCATTGGGAGAAACATCTCCAAGATCTAAGTATGGATTTAAAACACTCTTTTAACACTGGGTGTATCAAGCCTTCATGATGGTATTTGATCGAATTCCTTCTGATTGCATTATGGGTTCTTGGTGATAAAGCACCCTACACTGATGTCTGTGAGAACGTTGACCTAAGCCATGCTTAACTTAGGGTGTGCTGGAACAGGAGAAACAGGAATTATCTAGGCTTTTACTATGCTTGTCGTGGGCATATGGAAAATTTTAGTTTGACATTCCCTCAAACTAGATCAGTGTTAGAAAAGAAGCAGTGTAGGGTACGGGTATTCAAGGTATTAGAATGGTATGAGGAAGTTATGTGCTATAACATGAAACAGCTCTCTTGCATATAGTGACCTTGGAGAATTGGTGACAGGAACCTTGCCACTGAGTCTTATGAAACGAGTGACTGTGTGCTAAACTGAACAGGAAACCCTTGACTGAGCAACCTTGCAACAACAACCAAAGGGGGAAAAATCAGTGTGAATGGACAACAAGCTGTGCTGTAAATGAAACAAACTTTTCTAATTGAGGTTGGGGACCCATTAAAAATGTTGAGTTTGTTCGTTAACATTTTTCTCCTTCATAGGATATCCTGAAGGTGCACTATGAAAACAACAGCCCTTTCCTGACTATCACTAGCATGACCCGTGTGATTGAAGTTTCTCACTGGGGCAATATTGCAGTAGAAGAAACAGTTGATCTGAAGCACACAGGAGCTGTGCTTAAGGGGCCTTTCTCCAGATATGACTACCAGAGGCAGCCAGACAGTGGAATATCTTCTGTGAAATCATTTAAGGTCTGTACTTTCAAGACTTGGTGTTAAAAGTAGCCCTCTTCTTTTGCTCCACTTCCTCTTAAGTGATGAAAACAGTTCACCCTTCCCTTCCAGAAGTGGGCCAAGCTGTTGGGGAAGGGGAAAGTGAGGGAAAATCCTACTGAGTTACTTCAAGGGGATGAGG